TCATCGACACTTAATATGGAATTGAGGGAGTAAAAGGAAAACATGAACTCTGGTGCAAATAGCCAAATAGTAGGCGTTTCCGATATCGAACGCAATCGTCCAATATGGACCAAGCGATGCTGCCCGAGATGGTTCGTGATGAACGTCCTTGTTGGATAAATTGATTTTGAGGGCCATGCATGTATCAACCACTTGTGTCAGGATATATCTATCAACGTCATCTGCCTTGTACATCTATAAATAGGCTCTTCCCTCCATCAACCCACGACATCAACAGACACACATTAAACACATTAACAGCCGCGCAAGGTGCGAATGCTGGGCTATGCCACGTAGGATATTTACTATAGTACACATTAACAGTCGCGCAAGGTGCGAATGCTGGGCTATGCCACGTAAGATATTTACTATAGTAGGAATTGCTTGTTTACTCCAGATAACACCTCCCCCTACTGTGCAACACAGTCGGTGGAAGAAAAAAACAAAGGGTGGCCCGACGCATGGGCGATCCCTCTCGTTCGCCTCTCTCTCGATCCTCTCTCCACCTCTCCGCCGCCGGCAAATTCCCGCCGCTGCCGGCGGTCTCCGGCGCCGCCCAGCACTCCCTCGAGGTCTCCTCGGTCCGGTCTATCTCCTTCACCCACTCGATTCGATGCTCGCCTCCTCCTCCTGCGCTCGTGGCTAACCCTAGCCACAGCTATCGTCGGCGTGGCTCCGACGCCTCCTGGCGCTCACCGAGGCCGTCGAACGCGAGGGCATGTACGATCTGTGCCCTCTTGAGAGGAGTCAGCCCTCATATGGTTCTGCACCAAGGTCGGGGGACGCTCGACCCGTCCTCTTCAACGCCGTGGCCCGCCAAGGTCGGCGAGGAGGTCTCCGGCATGCTCGAGGCCACCGCCAGACGGAGCACGCCGTCGCCACCGCACGGTCTTCCTCCTTCGTAACCGATCCTCTGCCCATCCTCTCTTCTCCCCACGGGATAGCCAGCAGCCCACCTTGTGCTTGAGTCATGGAGGGGCAGGCGGCAGGTGTGGATGAGGAGATCCACCACAGAGGACGCGAGGTGAGATGGGAAAAAGATGCAAGGTCAGATGTGGATGGGGTAGGGGGCTCTGCCGTCACCGGAGATAGAGGAGGCAACAATATATTTTCTGCGACTTCTCGCTTACTGCTGCTACTGCAGGTTGTTGGCTTGTCCATGATGCTGGTGCTGATGCGGACACCGTGGCTGTCGTTTCCTCTGCACACCGATTGGCCATCCCAGGTTTACTATTGGTTCTATTTCATTCATGTGTCTAGTTGCTCAGATATTGTGTTTATTGGTCGTTTAGGTTAGGCTTGATTCTGAATTGAAACATGGCACATCATCCTCTCGATGCTAAAGAAGATGCTTCCTTAATTAAAAAAATGAAGTGAACAAGTAGTGATTTCTTAATTTCAATGCGAGACATGAATGGATTTCACAAATCTCCATCAGTGGAAGGCCCTGTGTCATTAGATGGATTTGGTTTGGATACACTACTCCTTTAATACTCATGGTGGTATAGAGTTTTTAGATGGTACTTGTTCTTTGTTTAGGGATCGCATTTGCCTGTGGAGATCAGACAAAGCATAATCTCTTAAAAAAAGTGGCTTTGAATATTCTCGGTTGATGTAATATCCGCACACAGTTAATTTGTTATCACCCATTTCTAACTTTGTATTCATGTCCTGACCCAATTTTTTAGCCCTTTGATGCTACCACTTCTGGTTCTTGATTGCCAAGGTGGTCCTTTTGGGGTGCAAATGACTAAAGGCTCCTGCTTCATGACGAACACCTTGAATCTACATTTTTCAGTTCTGGTGGAACTTAGAACATCACATTGCAAGGACTGGCTTTTGATTGATCTAACCATACACTACAGAGTACAGACTACAGATTAGGTGTTTTTATTGATTGGTAATGTATCTGGTGTTGTCTTCGGTTGATGGTATTGCCATTGATATTTCTGTCTTAGTGCAGAGAACTCGTCGAAGATAATCCATGCCATCGTGTGGCATCGATCTCCATCGTCCTCGTCCTATAGGAGCGAGCTGGGAGCAAGCTCAAACAGTTTGTCGTGGACAGAGAAGAGTGAGACTAATAAGAGGCATATATCCGATGACTACGGTGGGATGAAGTCGGGAAGTCACTCGCAGACGTTAGGGAGATTGTATGCCTGGGAGAAGAAACTGTATGAAGAAGTCAAGGTGGGTTATTTATATCTGCTGGTGTCATTCGATCTTTCTTGTGATTGCGTACATATGCAAAGAATACTTCATATCTTTCTTAGCAAGGTGCTATTGATCTATCCGTGTTTAAGGCAACTAATTATTTGAAAAAGGATAACACCACCTTGATATTAAAATGCATCTTGTTTTTGGGTGTGTGTGTGTGTATTTAGTTAATAAGGCGAAGTTGAAGGTCTTGACAAGGTCATACTACTGATAATGCTATCTATGATTTTTAAGCTGCTAAAAAACAATGCGGTTAGTTTTCAATGCATTACGATCATTTTCTGTAGTTTCTTGTGCACAAGCATTTGTGCGTTCATGGTTTCCTGTCATATTATAAGAGCATGTCTTTGTTGTATTGTGTATTGTATATATATTAAAAATGATTTGGTTCTGTACAGGCCATAGATCAAATCTGACAAGAGAAGAAATGTGTGCAGCTGAGGAACCAAGACGCCAAAGGTGCACAGCTGCACTGTGCTGAAAAAACCAGGACAAATGTAAGAGACCTGTACACAAGGATCTGGGTTTCTCTACGAGCAGCAGAATCGAGATCTGATAGACTACAAAAATTACAGGACGGGGAGCTCAGTGTGAAGAACAAGACTCAGGTTAGTTTGGTGTTCTTTCATGTGTTGAGACCTCAGCTCAGCAACGACCAGTTTTCTGCAGTATTACTCACTGCTCTCTTCACTTTTTTTTTTGAATTGAATGCCTGCCAGTGTTTCTCCTGCTTGCGCTGGCTAAAAAACTAATCAACTTAGTTGCATGTTGAACTGTAATTTCGTGGATTGCCTTTGGTGGTGATGCATTGTGTTTTGTCCTCTTAGTATGCAAAGTTAAGTGCACCGTCACGTAATATATGAGTAATTAACCATGGTTTAGGAAGTTTCAAGAGGTTCAGAAAGCTTATGAGGAACTTGATTTTTGTTCAACGTGGATGCTCATATATACATTTTTGTCTCTTCTCTGTATACTTTGAAGAATGAAGAAAAAGAACGCTCTATGATTAGGTAACAATTTAATCCCTCCGATTATAGACGTCTATGGCCGTTTCTTTCTATATGTTCATGAGTTACAAAGAATTAATTTATTGAAACTTAAGATAATTAGACAACAATACATTTTGAGTATATTTTGGATAGGATAAAGGAGGAGATTAATTCCATTTCTTGTATCAATGGAATGATGTACGGAAAAGCCGTCTTTCCGGTATTTGTGTTTTGGAAATGCCCTCTTACATGTTATTTCACTTTTAGTCCAACATGTAGCTGCTCGTGATCGATGCGCTTACTATTACTGTTTTTCGTGTTCGCTTCTCTCACAAAATAGGGGTTGCAAGTTTGAGTACCTTCTCAAAGTATGCTACTGAATCTATCTATGGTAAGTCTGCAACCTAGAATTTGCTCCTGCCTACTACATTTACAATGGTTTCATCAAGAATAATTATGCCCTACGTGGTACAATGCCCTTACACTTTCAGATTTAGCAGTAGTTAGAGAAATATAAATATCAGGTAGATTGACTACTTTGACACATAGGTGAGATTAAAAAAATACAACTGCTGAAACTCTTTCTGCGCTATACGAGGTGGTATTCAGTTCTTTTGGATTGCATGGTAAAAACATCTCTTGCTTCGGAATAACATGATCATTCTTCATGAAGTGCTTCCTAGGGATAACTCCGCTCTCCCACGCAGCCACACCAACGTCACCTTGAGGGACGAGTGGGTGGGAGGAGAAGGCGGCGCCGACGGTTTAAATCTGTGATCTGCCTTGACGTGGCAGGCGGCGAATCAGTCCGGTCAAAATGGCAAGGTCACAACGGCTCATCTACATGCGACATACTCTTTCCTCCGGTGTCTACGACGACGACCACTACTTCTGCGATGCCTGTGAGAGTGATGTGGTCTGCATCAAGGGTTATTACAATGGCATAGATCAGCAGCTGCTCGAGCAGGCGATGATGAAGGCGAGCGTCGACTCGGTTGGGGGTGGCGGACGGCAGTGAGGATGCAAGGTTGAACGTGAAAGCTGACTAATTCATTGCAAAGTTCTACGCATAGATGAAACTGCAGCAGCAATCATCGTTGGAGCATCTGCTAGGTACATAGTGTTTAGATTGTCTGTTTATTTGTTGAGTTTGATTCACTTTTGGAGAAGCCACTGGATGTGTAATTATACCATGTAACCAACTATAATGACTGCTGACTTTAATCAACTTTTATCTCTATAATGAATTCCGCCCTACATTGCTGTCATTTATGCAGAAGGCTCTCAGTTGTGTATACACATGTCGTAGCAACTAGAGAAAAAGTGCTCCTGCAACTAGAGAAAAAGTGCTCGGAAGGAGCGCATGTCTACCTGGTACCGCACAGGAGTGCGTCAGGCGGCGTGCCATGGGCACGCCCCAACTGCTAGTACACACACAATCCTGCCTATAGCCACCACATGTCTCCTTAGCCTACCTTAGCCACCACCACCACGCCTGCTACTAGGCCTAACCCTTCCTATTTCCAAACAGCTCCTGTTAGCCAAGAGACTATCCAGCGAACGGAGATTCTTCTCCACCTGTACGCCTACCAGCACACCCAAGGAAAACCAAATGCTAACCAGACTGTCATAGTGGATCCAAAGCTCCCCGCGTGTTTCGGTGCCCTTGCTGCTAATGACTGGACCATATATGATGGCACTTGCACCAACGCAAACCTTGTTGCGCACGCTCAAGGTTTGCACATTGGTGCTGGTATGACCAAAGAAAATTGGTTTACTTGTTTCAACATGGTGTTTGTGGACCGAAGATTCGACTTTCTTTTCGAATGAAATGGCCAGTGAGTGTAAATTTAGTATGTGTATCAATGAAAGCTTTTAAGTTAGTATTATTTAGTTTTATTTCCTAGCATGTTAAGTTTCTAATACAGTTGATGCAAACATATTTAGTTTGCACACGAAATAAAAGCCGACTAAAATAGTTTGAACTCTGTCATCACAAAATCCGCCTCCATTAATTTGTCAACTGCATATACTTGGCATAGGTTTATGGGTTCCAGCTTCAAGGTGATGGGAGATTTTCGAGGAAATGAAGGTGAATGGGCAATTGTTGGTGGGACGGGAGAGTTTGCATATGCACAAGGTGTCATAACCTTTAACAAGACCTGGTCAGCCCAGGCAAATGTCAGGGAGCTTCATGTTCGTGCTTTGTGTCTCTCCTTCTCAAAAGCAGCGGTGAGTTCCTTGAAATGTATATGTCCTTGCTCTCTTTTAGTCAAATTTGAAACTTGGTTTTATCAACACAAACCTAGCTTATACCATGCATATATATAATCATGATTATTACAATAGGAAACACCTTGCTCAAGGACACCACGGCAGAGCTCTGTCACCAAGATCGGCCCATGGGGTAAAATAAGTGGAGAATTTCTTGACGTTTCCACGACACCGCAACGTCTAGAGTGTGTGACCATCCGTCATGGAGCTGTCATTGATTCACTTGCATTTTCCTTCGTCGACCAAGCTGGTGGACAACATAATGTTGGCCCATGGGGTGGGCCATGCGGGGATAACAAGGACACAGTGGGTTCATGCTTTAAACATTTTTCCTTTATGCATGCATTTTCGAGCACTCATAATGTATTTCATGCATGCAGATTTAATAATTTGGTGATCTTTTTCCTCCATGCAGATCGAGCTTGCTCCATCGGAGATTGTGACAGAAGTCTCTGGAACAATTGGTGTATTTGGAGAAGCCAATGTCAAGTACAACGCCCTAACATCACTAACAATTACCACAAATGTCCGCACGTACGGGCCCTTTGGAGAACCGCAGTGTACTCGTTTCAGTGTTCCCGTGCAGGACAATAGCAACATCGTGGGTTTCTTCGTGTGCGCTAGAAAATGCGTGGAGGCGCTCGGGGTTTACGTGTGTCCACCTGTTTGAAACTAGTCCTGAAGTGTTTCACACTCGGTGTGCCTTCCACCTTTCTATGTTGTGCCAATAAGGGAGGTTATATACTTTCGGTGTAATGGTATCCCCACCCCCCAAAAAAAGCGTGATGGTTTTCATATCAGCAAGCAGTTTTCTTGGTACTATATGCAAAATAAGTCTGTGTCTTTGTTGAGGTCAATTTTACCACGCTTGTCATATTGTACTTTATTAGAAAATAAATAATGAGGCAGAGGCATGCACATATTTTTATGATAAACATATATTTGCCTCATTCATCAAGACATCTCACACATGAAAACAAACAGAGTTTACGGAATTACTAAATCTCGTCTAATTGAGATTTACAATGTCTCATCTAAGTTGTGGACCGCTGGATCTAAATCATCATAAAAAATTCAGGCAAACGTGATCCCGCGTCACTTTGTCACACGCGTCCCGCGCTACGTCGCGCCGTTCCTCCCGGTGTGCACTTGTGGGCCTGTTTCTTTTGTTGGGCCATTTTGCGTGTATTTGTTTCTACTGGCCTGGGTTGTATTAGTTGAAGGGAGAAGTTGTGTCACTGGTCGCTACCCAGTAGAAAATGTATCTTGTTTTTGATTGTTGGGTGCTGTTTTTAGAGTTACTTGTATCATGGATACGGAGTAGAGTTGCAGAATTTTTTGTTGTTTGTATGTGTTGCGGATTTTTTTTAAACATGGGGTTTTTCAACTTCATGTTTCGTTTTTTAGAAGTGGACGTGTAGTTACTGGAGATGGACCTTTTTTCCTGTTCATGTACATTTTACTAGCATCAATTTTTGTTCAATTGATAGATTGTAGCAAAAACAAGCTAGTTTTTAAAGATGGTATGGGGAATTGGCCTTTTCTTAGTTTAATAGATAACTCACCTGAGGTTCTTTTTTTAGTGCACTCAAAACTAGCCCTCGACCATCGACACACAACTAGCTCTCTACCCCTTTTTGTCGCAGTTGCAACTCCACTCTTGACAAAAAACTTGCCCTCTATCTTTTTAATCCTAGTTACAAGTACACCCCCATACACCCCATACGCAATTGCCCCAGACTTTTTTCTGGCCCAAGTTGCAAGTCCATCCACAACATGCAATTGGCCTCAGACTCCCAGTTGTAAGTCTACCCCCGACACACAACCACCCCTCTTCCCGAGCCCTTTGTCCAGTTGTAAAACCACAATTGACACGAAACTGGGCCCGACCATTTTTTGCCACAGTTACAAGTCCACACTCAACATGTAGTTGGTCCTAGACCCTTTTAGTCTCAGTTGTAAGTCCACCCTTGACACACAACTCACCCGACCTTTTTTTGTCATAGTTACAAGTCCATCCCCAACACATAAATAGCTCTGAACCCGTTTTTCCTCCCAGTTGCAAGCCCACCCTTTTGGGGCAACTTACCTCAAGCCCTTTGTCCCAGGTGTAAGTCCATTATCGACGCACATCTGGGCTCACCCATTTTTTGCCACAATTACAAGGCCACCCTCAACATGCAACTGGCCATGAACCCTTTTTCTCCCAGTTGCAAGTCCACCCTCAACACACAGCTCACCCTCTCGATCCCTTTGTGCCAGTTGCAAGTCCACCATCAACACGCAACTGGGTCCGACCATTTTTTGCCACAATTACAAGTCCAGCCTCAACATGCAACTGGCTCAGACCCTTTTTTTATCCCAGTTGCAAGTCCACCCTTGACATGCAACTAATCCCAGCCACAAATGTCCGCACGCGCGGGACCTTTGGAGAACCATAGAGTACTCGTTTCAGTGTTCCGGTGCGGGACAATAGCATCATCGTGGGTTTCTTTGTGTGCACTGGGAAATACGTGGAGGCGCTCGGGGTTTACGTGTTGTAAGGGCATATTTATCCCCAATATGTTTTGGTGATTGATGACAATGCTTGTGCGGACTAATCGTGTGCGTTTAGTTCTTTCAGAGATTCATCCATTGGCACGAGACGATTTCCTCCCCTCGGCGTTGTAATTCAAGACGGTGTAGCTCCTTCGTTTCGTTGTTGGTGGACTAGTTTCGTAGGAGTCACCGTACTATCAAGAGGGGATCCGCTTTGGTAAGACTTGGGTGGAATCACACGTACACATCCTTATCACACCCGTCGTCTTTCCTTCCGCATCTCTGGAGCTGCCGTTTTCCCCTGGCTATGCTTTGCTCTGCCCTAGCGGTAGTACCGCGACCACAGTGGTAGTACCGTCGAAGCTCCCCAGCGGTAGTACCGCTCCCAGAGCGGTAGTACCGCTTGGGTTTTTTAGTCGTAGTACCACTGTGCGTCTGGGCTACTTCCGCCTCGATTCTCGAACGAAGTTTTTCGTGTCGGGTTTTGCGGCACTAAGGGAGGTAGTAGGAGCGGTAGTACCGCCCTAGGGTCAGGGCCCCGGGCAGCGCGGCAGTACCGCTGGGTCGAGCGGTAGTACCGCCCGGAGCGGTAGTACCGCCCTTCCCTAGCGGTAGTACCGCTCTGTGCGGGGCTGGTGAGTGGGATAACGGTTGGTTTGTTCCTCCCACTATAAAAGGGGGTCTTCTTCCCCAAAGTTGACCTACCTCTTTCCCCCAAAGCTCCATTGTTGCTCCAAGCTCCATTTTCGCCCGATCTCTCTCCCTAGCCAATCAAACTTGTTGATTTGCTCAGGATTGGTTGAGAAGGCCCAGATCTACACTTCCACCAAGAGAAATTTGATTCCCCCCACTTATCCCTAGCGGATCTTGTTACTCTTGGGTGTTGAGCATCCTAGACGGTTGAGGTCACCTCGAAGCCATACTCCATTGTGGTGAAGCTTCGTGGTGTTGTTGGGAGCCTCCAAGTGTTGTGGAGATAGCCCCAATCTTGTTTGTAAAGGTCCGGTTGCCGCCTTAAAGGGCTCCAATAGTGGAATCACGGCATCTCGCATTGTGTGAGGGCGTGAGGAGATTACGGTGGCCCTAGTGGCTTCTTGGGGAGCATTGTGCCTCCACACCGCTCTAACGGAGACGTACTTCCCCTTAAAAGGAAGGAACTTCGGTAACACATCCTCGTCTCCACCGGCTCCACTCTTGGTTATCTTGTCCCTTTACTTTTGGAAGCTTACTTGAGTTATATCCATTGCTTGCTTGTGTGCTTATTGTCTTTGCATCATATAGGTTGTCCACGTAGTTGCACATCTAGACAACCTATTTCATTGCAAGTTTTAATTTGTTAAAGAAAAGTCTAAAAATTGTTAGTTGCCTATTCACCCCGCCCCCTCTAGTCAACCATATCGATCCTTTCAATTGGTATCAGAGCCTCGTCTCTTTATTAAGGACTTTGTCGTCCGAAGAGTATGGTTGACACCCACGACGGTGCGGAGGAGCACTCCGGTGTGAATCCCATCTCGTCCACGGCCGAAGGGGGAGCCTCGGTCTCTCATGAGGAATTCAATGTGGCTTTAGACACATTGAAAACCTCCATGATGGCCGAGGTTAAAAGCATGTTTTCTGATTTCTTAGACGGACTTAAACTATCTACCTCGCCGATGAAAGTGGGTGATCCCACTAACAAGGTGACGGATGCTACCTCCGACAAGGGGGAAGCTAATAGTGAAAAGAGTCCGTCTACTAGTGGTAGAAATGGCCCCGACATTTTTGCCAATGTGGAACCACCAGTGTATAGAGGACCGATCCCCTCTACTCATTTGAATCATGCCGGTCCTCCTCCTAAATATGTGAAAAATGAAGATTTTGATGCTTGGCTCTATCGCTTCAAGCGTCACTTAAAACATGTGAACACTAACCTTTGGAGAATTATTGAAGAAGGTTTCTATCCTCATGATCCAAGCAACTTCACCCCTCGAGAAGAAGTGGACAATAAATTCAATGAAAGTGCTCTCTTCATCATCCAAGATGCAATCCTTCCCGAAGATCTCCCTCATCTTCGACCTCATGCCATGGCTAAAGAAGCATGGAAATGTGTCGAGCGTCTCTATCGAGGAAGTGCTAGCATTCAACGCTCCAACTATGAAGTGGTGCAAGATGAAGCCGATGAGTTTGCAATGAAAGACGATGAAGAACCTCATGAGCTCTTTCGAAGAGTGACCAAACTCGCGGTCGCACTCCGAGATCATGGGAGCAAGGACACGGATGATAACTGGATCAAGCGCAAGTTCCTCAAGGCCATGATGCCCTACAACAAGGCCATGTCCTCCGTCATTCGCCAAAGACCGGACTTCCACTCCATGACCTCTGGTGAAGTGTTGGTTGAGTTTGTTGCAATGAGCATCTTGGACAAGACCGCCGACAATGCGGTGCTCCGTTCCCAAAGGGCAAAGAAGCCGAATCTTGCCTTGAAGGCCAAGGTTAGTGTGGAAGAAGAAGAAGAAGAGGAAGATGAGGAGAGCAACCCCGAGGACATGAAGTATGATTATCATGAGCACATGGCTCTTGCCTCAAGACAGTTTTGGAGTAAGAAGAATACAAGACCCAACTTCAAGAATAACAACTCAAGTGGCCTCAAGGGGAAGCGACGAGTTAGAACCTGTTTCAACTGTGGCAATGTTAGCCATTTCATTGCGGATTGTCCCTACGAGAAGCGGGAAGACAATGGTGGCATGTTCATCCGAAAAGACAAAGCCAAGTCCTTCCCAAACAAGAACAACTTCACCAAGAAGACTCCGTCTCGCGGGTTGGTGGTTCAAGAAGAATACCATGAGGATGACGATGATGATGAAGATGGTGAAACAATGGCCATGGCATCCGTTGCCATTGTCACAACTCCCTGGGTGTCTCTCTTCGATGCACCTAACGAGAACATCACCGCCAAGTGCCTCATGGCTAAGGCCACCAACAAGGTAACCTCCAACATCAAAACCACCATTATTCCTAACCCTCCTTCAACGGATGACTTTGATAATGGTAAGGGGTCTAATGAGGAGATCAATGAATTTGAGTCCTTCATGAGTAAGCTCAAGGGAAAATCCAAGAAGCACTTTGTTGCTCTCTTGGAACAACTTGGTGAAG